TATTTAAATACAATTTTATGTAAAAGTTCTTAGGACATTTTACCATATTTTACTTATTATCACTGGGAAAATCTATTTTTAAACGATTACCTAAGTTCCCTGCAAATTGTACCAAAGCGTTTGTGGTCTCTGCTCTGCTTTGTTCTGCCTTCGAAAGCCCTGCCGCATTTTCAATCTCCTTTAGACCTAATCCTTAAGCTGTTACTCTCAATTTGCACAGGATCTTTGATTATTGAGGGACTCCCAACTCCCAGCCACCCTGAGGTTCTTTTCAGCAGGATGCTTTGGCAAATGGACTGCGGAATCGGCTTGTTGCTGGTCGATGGAGCTATTTAGACAGATTCTCCTGGCCCGCTCACCTTCTTGGTTTTGGCCGAAGGAATGGGCCCATAGATTGCAGTTTTATGTCACAACATTCAAACAAATCGCCGGCCATTTAAAACGGTTTAAAAGCCATTGCTGCAGCCCGTAACAGGCACACGGTGTCCTGACTTTTTCCGGCAGACACAACAGACAACCGCTGGGCAGAATGAGTTTTCCGCAACCCCATCCCACCAGCTCCTCTACTCCCTGAATTTCCTCTTCCTGGGGATGACAATAATTGAGCGCCCATTTGCGTATGGTTTTGGTAGGGGGTTGGCTTTGGTTTCGGTTTCGTTGGCCAGGGAAAGCAGAGCCTGGGAAATTGTTTTGGCTGTCGAATTACGTAAACATTGTCATAAATGAAAAATTTAGCAGTCGTAGCCGAGTCAAGCATTTCATTTGCTGTGGCAAATTTGTCAATCTCGTCGAGCGTTTTTTCTGCCATCACGACTTTGGCCCAATTCTCCTCGTCGTCGTCGTTTTTGCGACCAGACGCCGCAGGGACTCACATGAGCCACTCTCTTTGTTGGTCTACAAACTTTGTTTTGTTTGGTTTGTTTTGGTTTGGTTTTTGGGCCTGGAATTGCTTTCTTCTCTCGTGATGGAAGTCGCAAGATGGAAGACTTTCTCCGTCTGCGGCAGGCGCGACATATTAATTATTCATTTCGATTCTGGTTCGCCATGTAGCAGCGGGATACCAGAAAGCCCCCAAAAAAAAGAGCCCCGAAAAATCCGAAAGCGAGGCTCTTTGGGCCGCTTGTGATTTATAAACACGCGCGTCGCTTTGGGTGATTTACTGCAAATTGCTTTATAATGTTATATACATTTTGTAGACGATTTTGCTGCTTTTCGGCGGTTTGCCTGCTTGCGAGTAATTATAAGGGAAACGGAAAGAAAAATGAGGCACGATTTGTTGGGACTTGTAATCCAATGGATTAAGTTCACGACCCTAGACGTTAGGTTGTTAACAATCCAAAGATCAAAATATTACCAGGATTTGAAGTACATTTGAGTATAATCCTATTTTAAACCCTTTTGATTATTATGCAATTTATTTAAATTTTTTTTAATTAAATGAAATTAAAGGTTCTGCTTAAATATAATTTAGTAGTCAGCAAAAACTTGCAAAAATGATTTAAAGGATATATTAATATTTTGTATTGAAAGGAAAAAAAATTTAAAATTTAGGATGGGGGTTGGGGAATTAAAAAAAAAAATTTAAAAATTTTAATTTTTTATTTTTTTTTTTTTTTTTTTTATTTTTTAATAAAAAATAAAATAAATTTTTTTTTTTTTTTTTTTTTTTTTTTTTTTTTTTTTTTTTTTTTTTTTTTTTTTTTTTTTTTTTTTTTTTTTTTTTTTTTTTTAATTTTTTTTTTTTTTTTTTTTTTTTTTTTTTAAAAAAAAAAATTATAAAATTTTAAATTTTTATTTTTTAATTTTTTAATTTTTAAAATTAATATTTTTTTTTTTTTTTTTTTTTTTTTTTTTTTTTTTATTAAATTATTTATTTTTTAATTTTTTTTTTTTTTTTTTTTTTTTAAAAAAAAAAAAAAAAAAATAAATTTTTTTATTTTTGGGGGGGGGGGTAGGAAATATTTTTTTTTTTTTTTTTTTTTTTTTTTTTTTTTTTTTTTTTTTTAATTTTTTTATTTTTTAATTTTTTTTTTTTTTTTGGGGTTTAGTTTTTTTTTTTTTTTTTTTTTTTTGTGTTTGGGTGTTTTTGGTTTTGTGGTTTTTGTTTTTTTTTTTTTTTTTTTTTTTTTTTTTTTTTTTGTTTTTTTTTTTTTTTTGTTTTTTATTTTTTTTTGTTGGGTTTTTTTTTGTTTTTTTAGATAAATTTTTTTTTTTTAAAAATTTTTTTTAAGAACAAAAAGGGGGGGGAAAAAAAAAGTAGTGTTTTTTTTTTTTTTGGGGGGTTTTTTTTTAAAAAGGGGGGTTAAAAATTTTTAAAATTGGAATTTTTTTTTATTTGGTTTTTTTTTTCCAATCCTCTTTTAAAATTTTTTTATTTTCCCTTGGGGGGGTTTCCCGGGGCTGTCCCCTATGCCCTTTGTTGAATTTAAATTGTCTGTTACCTGAAGTAGGTTCTTTAATCATTAAATATTCTTGTTAATATTTACCTTAAAATATTTTTTGTTAGAAAGTTCTAGGTTTTTCTTTAATAACCAAGAAATGAGTTCATCTGAATCAATTATTCAGCAACCATTTCTTTTCATTTGCATTAGTAATTTTAAAGCTTGGCCTCGAAGCATTTTTAATGATTATGGAAACGGAAGAAGGAAAAATACTTTCACGAGACACGTAAAAGTAAAAGCAAATCTTTGTACGATACAATTTGCATTGCGCATCTGTGAATTCGAATGTAGTCCTGCCAACGAGGGTTTGTGTGAATATGTGTGTTTATGTAAATTTTGGCAGCTCACTGTTTTCTTTTTGGTTGGCCAGCGCGCTTTTTATTGTATACATTTTTCGTAGCTGAAAATTAGAAATGTTCCACTGCGTTCAACTTCACTGACAGTGCGTGGCAAATTGCTTTCCAAAGTCTGAAGTCTGGCATGTCTGTAGAACAGAGAGAACACACACGTTGCTGCAGTCAAAGAAATAATGATTAATTGAAAATATCTAAAGATAAACTAAAAATTAAAAAGGAAAAATCGAACTTAAATTTAAAAATGAAAAGTGGAAAAATATAATTGTAATATATAGGTTTTGGATAGACTTATTATTATTTTAGTTAGAACTAGATCTAACATTTTTTCCTCTGCACAGCCGATAGCTAACAATAATAGCAAAAAATGCCTTTTTTTGCTTTGCTGCCTTCTTTCCGTTTCCGAACAGTAAGTGCGGAAGAGGGGCAAAAGTGGGAAGTGGTCGGGATGATATAGGACCCTATATGGCTGTTCGCTGTAGCGGTAATTTGCATGTGCAGACTATGGCACATAATATCCATGCATTAGAATTATGAATCCCCTCCCTGCCCCTGAACTCCCCTCGAATTCGAATAATGGCAACGAGTGCCGGAAAAAATTTGAGTACATAAATGCGCAAAATTCGAAATTTCCCTCGCACTTTACGGCTCGTGCACACGGCGTATGCGTAATAAATGTGCCTACTGCCATTATTATGACATTAATGCCGATGAATCGATCATCCCCACTGGCAGGCCATAATTATAGTGCGTTGGAATAGTAAAGTACGGGTTTATTGACGCCAGTCCACTCCCGACTTGAATATAACAAACTAAGCGGAGCAGAGGACACAACTAAGCTGCCGCCTGGCAGACAGGCAATTAAGTTAATTACTGTTTAAACTTTCCAGCCCTGCCAGTCCTGGCTGTCTGGGGGAGCAGAACAGAAAAAAAACGAAAAAATTATATTTAGCAAATTAAATTCCCAAGTTACTGCCAGAGATCGAGCACGTGGCCTGGCCGAAATTTTAAGTAGGCGAAAAACCAAAATGAAAACCAAAATGTACCTTTAACTGAAGAAACAGTGGGAGGAAAAGTCAATACTTTGTGGGTAATTTTAGGAAATTCACAAAGTGCAATGTGCGTTTAGTTATGACTTATATATTATGCAATAAAAATCTGAAAGCAACTTTTGTAAATAAAAAACATTTCGAAAGGGATGGTCAATATTTTTTGGTAATTTAAGAGACTTCAATAAAATTTTATAATATTTTCTGTATTTTATTTTAATTTATTTTTATTATATTTTTCTTTATAAAGTAGACAAGTTTTATAATTAGAATTACTTTGACAATCATTAAGATTTTATATAAATTTAGTAACTTGAATATTTATTGAAATGTAATTAAATTCAATGTTACAAAGCTTTCACTAAGAACAGTTTCTAAAAATATACATAACTAAATAAATAAGCTAATTATTTGGAAAGGCAATTTATTTTTAGGTTTTTTATGCTTTTATCCACTGTACTCCCACTGCAACGCCATCATTATGCAGGCGGCATGCCCCATTATCATTTTGCTCATTTCCGTTGTCGTTTTGATTTTGTTGCAGTGGCAAAGGCAGAAGGAAAAGCTGCTCGACAGTCTGCCAATGAGAGCTTTTGGTTCTGCGGAAGGGAGAAGGGGAAGGCGGTGCCTTGTGCCCCCCGAAAATGCCACCCTTTACCATTTAGCCAGCTTTGTCAGTTGCAATAACTTTCGCGTCAGTCCAACCAACAGATCGTAATGCTCCGCTCCGTTCTCTGCTCTTTACAGGCCACATTTCGTGTACGACGGCATAAAACAGAAGCGGCAAATAGAAAAGCCAAACGGCGGCTAAGTTGCTTTTGTCTGCCTTCGGGGGCGGAGGAGGCCTGGCAATTGGCCAAGTTAATAGAGAGCCGGGAGGCCCGATAATGACGTTGCTGGAGCTGCTGCCGCCTATGCTGATGATGAGGCTGCTAACTTGGTTATTGCTCCCAGCCTAGAGCGACAGGACCAGAGAGACCAGGACGAAGACCAGGGACCCGGACCCTCTAAGACCCAGCAGGCCAAACAGACCCAACAGACCCACCAGACAGACAACAAAAACAAGGTCTGAAGCTGCAACGCCGGGCTTACTGCATTTCCGCATCTTGTTCCTGTCGCCGCCCGTCGCTGTCATCGTTATAGCCCCAGTCATTTCCACAGCCGGAGTCACCATGCCCATTGCCCACCCACTGCCGCTCTGCGTGGCCTGGCTGCTGCTCCTCGTCGTGATTGTGATGAGCGGTAAGTACACAGATAAAAAAAACAACAGTTTGAAATAAATATGCTTTTTAGAGTGCCACAAAAATATCGAAAGAGGTTTGAATTCCCCTATAAAGGTGCCTAAAAGTATGCTACAATATATTTTCAATGACTTCATTTTTCCTTGCATACTTTTAGACACCTTTTCAGTTGATATTAAAATTTAAGTGGTTTCTGTGAGTTTTCCTAATAACTTTTTATGAGTGATATTATCAGTGATAAAATAAATTTAAATGTCGCTACAGTTGAAAGGACTTTATATTCTTCCATTGATTAATTTTTTTGGATACCTACTGCCTGCAATCAGGGCATTAATATTATGTTCTGTAAAATAAGGCTTTTTAACTTAATGCAATCTGTTGTACAAAATTTAGACACACTTTCAAAAATATCATAATCTTTTATACATTTTTTTTCCCGTGTACCAACCCATCGCAACCATTCCAAACCCTACGGTTTCCGCTTTCTGCCATATTGTTGCCGCAGTTAATTGTTGGCATTTGTTTGGCGGCGATTCCTTTCCTTTTTGGCCCCTTAATTGTCCGCTCCAGCTCGGGATTTTTGTTTCAATTAACAATTAGTTTTTGCCAACTGCTGCACAAAGTTATGCCCGAACGGGCATATTCCATTAACTGCAACAATATTGCGTATACGCCTGGCGGGCCTTGACCAAAGCTAGCAAATGAAAAGTTTTCGCTTGCATCCATCACAACAAAAGTGGTCTAAATAAATGAACACAAATGTGTGCTCAGCCAAAGAGAAAAATTCAATAAACTGCATAAAGTTTGAGAGAAACTTTAATCGGCTTTTACTTGGACTTGGCTTGCCAAGGAAATAGTTTAAGCTGTTCTCTTCAGAAAACCCTGGAATAGCTTCTGGTCTTAGCCCCTGGGAAACTCTCAACAAGTTGTCTTGTCAATAATTATTTTTCTTGGTTTATTTTCAAATTGCATAGATCATTTTTCGCAACATGGCCTAATAGGCTTTAAAACGTTTTGAGCTTTTGGCACATTCGTTGCCCCAAATGAATGTAATTGAGCTTAGGACCAATTTGCCTGTAGGGCAAATGCCCGGCTTAAAACACTGAATTTGAGCCAATATTATGCAAAAATATCTTATCATAACTGACCGAATTATGTTGTAAAACATTTCGACTGCCAGCGGTCAACTCAACGGGTAAATGCGACAAATTAAGTAAAAAGCACGTTCCCCAAAACGTTTGAATGTAGTTTTTATCCCGAAATTAACACAATTTATAAGTGAATGGATTCAATTTCAATTGCCAAAACCAAAAACTGATTTAATTAACAATGGCCAGAAAGCAGGGACGCTTAATGCGTTTGATTTATTTTTAAAGGGCCGGGAATTTATTGCAGAAACGGCAACAAATAACACCCGAGGAGAAGGGTCATTGGAACAATTCAAAAAGTGCTCGAATTAATTGCATTTTTGGTGCAGCGAAAAACAAACGGAAAAACAAGTAAATCGGCGAAAAAAAACAAGAAAAAACGTAGGCGACGGCGTGGACATATTTCAAAATTCAATTAAAATAAAACAAAAAGGCGGCAACAGCGATAGCGACACTATGCAATTTCCGCTTAGGGCGTGGCTCCAGTCAGGTGGGCGTAAAAATAATTAAACTACGGCCAAATAAACATCGAACGTCGCGCTTTTGGCCATTTGCAGCAACCGAAAGGCCAACAACTACAAATGGTGGCAATTTTTTAGCGATTTCGCGCTGACTTCTGCATCCGACATGCACAACATTTTCAATTTAATTACGCCAGTATGTCGATATGGTTTTAAAATAACCAGAAAACAACATAAAAAAACTGAAATAACGCAAGACGAATTTTAGCTAATATCTAGTAATCAATCCCTCCATCCGCCAATCAATCAATTTACTCTAAGTGCATTTCCCTGTTTGACGGGGGTCAAATGAGAAGGGAAAACGAGAAAATTCCACCTGCTAGTTGTTGGTTCTGGCCAGGATTTCATTCCACTAATAAATTATTTCCAGTCGCTTTGGTGCGCTTTCTAACAAAAAAACTCTCCCATTTCACCAATTTAAATATTGATTATGATTGATTTAGCGGAAAAGGCCGCAACTAAATATTGTTTATTTGCCATGGCCACACTTCAATTCAGTTAGCGTTGCCCGTTTGCAATTTCGATTTCCGTTTCCATTCGCCGCTCTGTAAATTACACAAAGTAAAATTTACGAGTTGCTGCCGCACTTCATGGGAGTAATTTTAATATGAATATTTTTTCTGTAAGTCTCGTGTGCATAGAAATTGCATATTTGAATTGAACTTTTGGCCCGTGTTTGGCTAACGCAAAATGAAATCAAATAAATAATTGCACTGCCCGAAGGATGGGTCTACTGGCCACTGGTCAAATATTTGCAGCAAACTTTTGGTTCTGGCCAAGTCATTGAACGTTGTTGGCTTGGCCAGCAACTCAAACACACAAACGGAAAAGCTGGCCAAAAATAGAAAAGAGAAACCTGAAAAAATGAGGAGATGCCAAGTGAAGTGGAGTGAAGCGAACTACCGAGCTTGGCCAACACTCCAGCCAAAAAACTTGGCCACGTGCAACGAGGACGAACAGAGCAACCCACGTAGGTAATTGAGTATGAATGGGGAATGTGTCGAAAGCGTTTTCAGATGTTTGCCAAACAAAACGCTGCCGGCTCTGCCTCCCCAGACACTGGCAACCAAAGTGACTGGAAAATGAATTCGATACATTATCATGACGTCAAGTCGTGCGTGGTGGCGACTGTCGAAAAGTATAAATTACATCTAATGCCGTTCTGCTATCGAGGTATAGAAGGCAACAGCCGCCGCCCATTTCTTATGCGAAACACCTGCAGTCGTAGACCCTATGAGCACCCCTAACCATCCACCCACTTTGACTGGCAGACCGGAGGGTTCGAGGTTCGAGGCATCCTGGCAAATGTGCGCATAAATGAATTACCAATGAACCGCATGGTTCACGTTTTCAATTTGAAAGGGTGGGCGCTAATTTTTGGGGAGGAGTCGCCTGACGGAAAAGGCCAAGCTAGAACAAAGACCGAATAACCATTTGACAGATGTGCTACTCCATTTGGGCACCAAGGAGGTACAGTACAGATCAGATTAATATGATAAAAATCGTAGTTATTAAAAAAAACCTTCAAATTTAATATTTATTATGAAATTTATGAAAACTTTAAATTGTTGGCAGGTTTACAGAAAATAATAATGATAAAAAAAACAACTTAAGTAAGCTGTAAGGATTGCATTATAATTTAATTTATAATTTAATTCATAAAATTTTAGAGATATTTTTTTAAAACATTTTTTTTTAATTTATACCAAATTATCTTAAAATTTTCTCCCCATTCTTTGCATACAAACTCGTATAAAATCGTAAATTTTAACCTTCATCATGATGCCTATTCAAGAGTACCTATATTTCTTTACTTTCTGCCAATCTAAGTATAAATTTCCTTCAACGAGAGAGTGTTTCTTCCGCCATAAAATTAAGCCCGAAGCCAATTAAATTAAAGCTCACCCAAAATACACTTTTCGTCGCAAGGTGAAGTGCTTCTAGAACCTAGACACAAGTAAACAGCAATTCCCTTAAAGAGGCTCCACTGTAGAGCCAAATGCGAGGAAGTGAGATGGTGAAGATGGTGTGCGAGTGAATGGGAGAAAGGGAACAAATCGACAGCCTACATAAAAGCGCAATTTGCGCAATTCCAACGTCAAGTTCCATTTGATTACAACACGTTGACGAGGACGTACGCACTTCTGGAGGATTGGATGGTATATACACATTCATACGTACATACATATGTGTCTGCAGCCGGTAAAAGCAATTTCAGCAAATCTGCAATTGTTATGTCGCCTGCTAAACAACTCACTTCGCAGGCAGGCCTTCTCGCACGTCAAATATTTATATTGCATTGCTATTCCTGTACCTATTTCTTGATATATACATATATATTCCCCTGGCTCTTGTTGCTCTCATTTTGGGTATTTCGGGTATTGATTAAGCACCATCGTGGAGCTGGAACAATGGCCCGCCTCAATTACTGCAGCAGTTTATGTCCCCGTACGGACCCACATGTCTGTCTTCTTTTTTTACAGCCTTTTTATGTATTCTGTTTATAGATTGTTAACGTCACGAACGAAGGGGGGCCAGCAAAAAAGCAAACACACCGGCAGGCATAAATCATGCAAACGACTTGATGGCGTCTATTAGTCTGTTTATAGGCCTAGTTAAAATGTTTATAGAGCAAACTTTACGGTGAGCAGCAATTAAACATAACGGTCCGGTCCTGTTGATCGCAGTTTGCACCCCTAAAAAATCAAGGGACAACAAAAGGGTGGGGCCACATAAAAACAAAGATCTCACAAACTCATACAATGTTGTTTCTCGTGACAAGATAGCTAAAAAACATTAAAACTCAATAGATTTGAATAGTAAGACAATTTTATGTGAAATCGTTTTTTAAAATACGATTTCTAGCCATATATTGCTGAAATTTGTCTTAAAAAAAATAGATTTTACATAAAACCCGACGTCTATCATGATGAAATAGCTTTAAATCCTTGAAATCTAAATCAAACTAATTTCGATATTTTTGTAAGGGTTAGCTTCACATAAAAAGTAACTTAACTTCTTGTTAATGTATTAAGAATTAAATACTATTAATCGATATTAAAAACAAGAGAGAACGCTATAGTCGGGTTGGTGTCCCGACTATCTAATACCCGTCACTCCGCTAAAGGGAGTGCGAACGCTGTGTCTGGTTGGTGTCCCGACTAATAATCGTAACTCAGCTAAAGGGAGTGCGAGGGAGATAGATATATGTTGACAATTTATAAATCGTATAACTTTTTAATGAATGGTCCGATTTGAAAATGTCTTCTACATTTCGATAGGTATAAATATACACAACAAAATTGCATTTATACTTCTCGGAAATCTTTAAA